AGATTTTTTATTGGAGACCCACGGGGGGGGGGGGGCAGGAAGCTGAAGCCAGAAATTCCTGTTTATAGATCTATGTGGCATTGTGAATTTATTCACTCTTGTCAAAGAAGGAACCTTAAGATATGACCTCTTTGTATAAAGTGGTATGTGAATTTATGTGCAGCGTCATGCGTGCCACAGTTTTGTTGCCATGCTGTGATAGCCAGCCTTCCCCTTACAGCTGTGCCCTGTAATGTCGAGCCTTTATTAAAAGGACTTGTAGTTGCCCTACGTGAGTAAAGTGGCATGTGATATTATGATTAAAGAATATGATTAGTGAAGTAGTCTTTTAAAACAGTCAATGCTCATACATGAACAGGAGTTCAATGTACAAAAAGCGTTGTTGATTGGACTCATTTGTTTAGCTACAACCTTCTGTTTAGGTGTGAAAATGCTTGGAAAATACGAAAGGAAAAGGAGAGAACACAAACATACAAATGATTTTGAAAACAGTGTATTTAACAGAAGCTAAAAATGGATGTGTTTAGACTTAAACTGGCCCAGTTTAGAATCCCTGGTAGGCAGACTGCCTCCTTCTAGTGAGACTATTTTTCCAAAGAAAATAAACTTATTGATGCTACTGATAAAACTATGAAAAACTAGTAGGTGCAGTTTGCTTTCTCATTTACATACTATCACTTTTCAGGATGCAGACAATGCTTCATTACCTGGGCCTGGGTAAACACGGTTAGACAATATGTTCGGCATGTTTGCGTGCTGTGGGACTGTGGGTCCAAGGTGGGACGCTATATGGATTTGTCTTGGGTCAGCTGATGCCATCATTTCAGTTGAGGGTAACAGATCTCTGAGGGGGAAAAAAACACATTCAGATATGCAAAGGACATTGTTTAAGAATAATCTAAGATCTTTATATACTCAGGTACAGCACATGCACAGTTATTCTTTAACTGAAGTGTTATAGTAGAGAAATGATGCAAAATACCTGTCTACCAGTCGAGGCTCAAACTGGGAGGGAATCGCCTGCATCCTCTGCTGGCCTGTGCCCATTAGCTGAGGGTTTACTGCCATCAACTGATTTCTCATTAGCATCTCTTGCCGCTGCCGCAGTTCTGACATAAAGCATATACAGTTCTGTTGCAGGTGTAGTAAATTATACCATAGACAGAATCACTTTCTAACTTTATCAGAAAAAATAGGGCTTTTTTCCTTGAGTGCCAGCATTTTAGTTAGCAAAACACACTATTTTTAATAGCAGCAACTAAAAAAGACATTTCCACGGCCACCTTAAACCACATTGTTTAAATAATGTAGTTTTATACAAAGTGCAGTAAAAATAAACAGGATGTGCACAGTCAAGGGTACCAAAGGACAACTTACAATCAACAATAATTCATATATCACTATTAAATGGAAGAGAATAGCCATGAATGTTAGGTTCTGAGAGAGTTTTCATTTCTAATACAGTTTTATTTTTAGAAAAATCTTATTAGCTGGAACCTGCCTTGTTATGAGACAGCAGCTCTACAAAGAACCACCTGCAGTGGTGAATCAGAACATCATAATGTCCAGCGATGGCTTTTGTTGCTGAGTTCTTATGTGACCTTGACTCTCCAGATGCTTAGCATCTCTATATTAAGTTCTGAATGCCCCAAATCCCCAATGTTAACTTTTAATTATCTTAAAAGAAATGTTTCTTCAGTTACTTCTAAGACAACTTTGAGGTGCCTTTTAAATACATTAAACCTGTCGCTGGCTGTTCCTTGTACAGATACTGGCAATCCTATAACCAAATATGCAGTTAGGTTTCTTCCTGCTTACCTCCTGCTGCCATGCCACTTGCTAATCGGTATAAGTGCTTTTCTTCCAGTGTTCCTTGTTCCCCCAGGATAGACATTTTTCTCATGTGATCTCGTGGAGTCATGCTGTGAGGAGACAGCAAAAACTTTTCTGTTGAATCAGCAGGCCCAAAGAAAAGAATGAGACATTCAACAATGTAAGGAACAGAGCAGGTTACACAAGTTATTTCTCAGATAGGCAGGTAGTCTTCTGCCGGCCACAGTTGTGCCTTTCAGTGCTTGTGGATTGTATTGGTTACCATATAGAAACTTTCAGTTTTCAGGACAATGCAAATGTTGCCTTTGTTTATACTGAGTTGTTCAGTGTCCTTGGGTCTTGCTATGCAAGGGAAGTCAGGATGCTGGGAAATACCAGCTGCTCAGAAGGATGCAATTAAGCCAAAGGCTTGTGCCTGCAGCCCCTGGTGTATCACAGCAGCCCTGAGAACAGTGACATGTGCTTCATACTCAGGAAGGCAGGTGTCCTTGGTTCAATTTGGGAATTGGAATAATTTGGAGCCCTGTCTACTGTAAACTAAATGAAACAGTTGGAAAGAAGTGGTAGAAATAAGCTGTTCCAAATGACATTCCCTTAAGACTGCCAAATGAAGTAAAAAAGGCAAAAGAACATGCTTTGTAGTGTTGAAAACAGTGATTAAAAACAGCTAGGCTCAGATTAATTATCTATATATGTACAGGTAAATAAAGCTGTACTTTGGGAGGTGAATCCCATGGCAGGGAAACCATCACTGACAAATTTCCTGACAGCAGCAACCTTCTACTTCAGCTGAGTGCTGACAACTGCTGAATTAATGTTAACCATCACTCCACAAAGATGTGATCTCTGAAGCACAAATGGCCAAAACCATCCAGAGCTTTGGCTGGTTTGACTTTTTATGGCTTACTTGCCAATTTGCCTTTAGCGGGTCGTGATAATGCTATTACACTAAAATGCCAGCTTTCTCTGAGAACTCTACCTTTTGCTCAGGTCTTTCTCATGTGTTTTCACACTTATGCCAAACTTGCTTATTTTGCAGGCTGAAACTTATTTTCATTTTTATACTACGTTGCCCCTGCTTCTAGCCTTACAAAGTCAATGCCTGCGATTAACAGCATTGGCGTGATGAAATCCAACTGTGGGACCAATTGTGCATATGTAACCACTGCAAAGGCAGTGGTGTTGTATGAGTACCAGTGAGATCAAACACAGCTTGAGATCTTAGCATTGCTAAGAGTACAAGGCAGATCCAGTTGCCAAGTGGTTTGTTTACCTTTAAACTAGTTTCTGAGGATACAGAAATTCCTTAGAAACAGTGAGCAGGAACAACCAAAGTTCCCCTTTTCGCAACCAGTCCTTCTCCAAACAGAACCAAACTTCAAAAACTGTTCATTATGCAAAATCTGATGGAAGCCAAATCCTATATTTTGTTACCCAAGCCATTTATAAATTAACCATTATAACTCCTTTTATTGCCTTTGACCTATTGAGGAGTTGCAGAAAATGTTAAGGAAAAGCTATCAATCCAATTCATATGCTTCAGGAATTTACCATTTCCTTGGTATGGTGAAGATACTTGGTCTCAGTCTCAAAGTGAGTTTTCTATAGGTAGGTAGGTAAGTTGTTTCATTCAGACTGAGAGTAGAGGCTATACTTGGACCACACCACTGGAGTTCCCTCAAAATCTTTCTTTACATTTGTAAATGTTGTAAATGCTAGATTCAGTGCGGGCCAAGATTCAGGTCTTCCTGGAAGCGGACCAACCTGCCAAACCCAAGAACAGCACCATGTCCTTTGTTCTTGATGTGTATTTGAACATGTGCTGCTGGACATGTTTCCATTTGCCTTTTTTTTTTTTTTTTTTAGGATACTTTAGGCTTAAAGCGATTTAGGATGCTGGGTGCTTCACGAAGAGCATTTGAGCTGCCAAAGTGCTTCTGAGCTGCTAAAGCATTTTAAAGCTCAGTACTAAAGCGATTTAGTGCTGAACTAAACTTTACAGCAGCTCAAAAAATAGATGGCAACTGGGATGATGGTATTTGCCATACCATATTGGTCCAGTGAGCCATTTAGGTCATTTCCTTTCATGGATGAGTGGCCATGTATTAAATACTCTGGAAAACAAAGCCACAATTTTAAACATTATGCTAACCCACTTAAAGCCTGGCCTTTGGCCTTTGCCTGGTGCACCTGACGAGAGAATATGAAGGTGCAAAGCAACCAGCGGAGGTCCAGATAGACATAATGGAAAAAACCAGAAGGTTTTAATCTTTTTATTCTAGTAAATCAGGAAAAAAGGAGAAAAGCTAGTATTAACAGTAACAAAGTTTTGTCTGTCAGATGACTGACAAGCTGTACCACTTGTGCTTTTTGGGAACTGCTAGAATGCTTCAATCCCCAGCTTTAATCACAGTTGTGAATGCACTTTGTTCTGGGAAGCTGTCCCTGTGCGGGGAAAAAAATCCCATACAAGTAAAAGACACTTTATTGGGCCCACCTACAACTTCTACGCTCCTCTCTAAAATCACACCTGTGACTAAAATTATTTGATACAACTTTGAAGTGTACAATCAAGGAAAACCTAGTGGGAAAAGACCTATCTATTCTGATCCAAATCTACCACCTCCCCATGGGATCCCGTATACCCTGCCTGTTCTGACAGACACCTAGCAACAACTGAGCAGCAGTAAGCGTGGTTAGAAACCAGTAGCACCAGCATCACTGTGGTCTCTGTATAGTCTGTGCAGTTCCCAAAACAGGTCTGGATTTTGTGTTGGATGTGAAGTATGTTATACTGTCTGTTGACAGGTAGTCTCTCACATAGCCTCCTTTCAGAGCTGAAGCAAAAACTATTTAAGAACTTTCTTAAAAATCTTTCTTTTAAAAAGTGAAGTTTTCTTTTAAATGCTGGTGTTTTCACTGAGTGTAGGGTACCGAATACAGCAGCATCCACAGTGAAGTTGATCCATGCTTACTGATAGATCATTGTACACTAGATGACCAAGATTCACAGAGCATCACTTCAGACAACATTCATCGCTTCAGGCAATGCGCATCACATAAGCAACTTATCCTTGCAAAAGTGGTCTGTTGGTTTGACATGGAAAAGACATAGTATTGAAAAAATCATGGAATAATGTGACTTGAAAGTTCATTGGTATCTTCTTCCAGTAAAGCTGTAGCTTACTGCTTCCACTGACCCAGTTTTTGAATCATCATGAGCCAAAAGGAGGGTTTGATTCCTTAAGGAGGTTTTCACTGGAGTTGCTTAATGAAGTAATTGTATTTTTTTTTTTCATTGGTGTGCCAGTCAATCCTATCTAACTTATCTCGTATTTCTTCTCAGATACATAAAAATAACTCTGGTATTTGTGGTAAAAACGTTGAGATGTTATTTCTACCAGAATGTTAGTCTGCTTTCCCAAGCTGAATGTCATAATATCAGTATGGTTTAAATTTAATTTGAAGGTCACATTTTGTATGTATACATTACCAGTATTAAATGACTTGTTTATTTCCTGTTCAGGGAAGTATTGAACTGATAAGGTGGGATAAATAGTTAGCTTAATAACCTAATGTAAAGACTTGTATGTAACCCTGTGTCAGGAGGAGATATTGAACTCGACTAATACGTTATTCCATTTGGAAAACCACTTTTTTTGGTTTCTTAGCTGAGGTTCTGACTTGCAGGTCAAATTTAGGGTGCTTAAGGTTCACACTGTTTTGATAACAACTAGCATATTAGAAAACAACATCAGCAAAAAAAGATCTCTGAGGGAACAGGGAAAGTATACTTCTGATACATATATTAGCTGGGATTTGAGTAGCTCAAAATCTTGCATCAGGGTTCATATAAATTCATACACGCCAGCTGTCCAGTGTTACATTCATATATGGCTCTTCTCTGATCCTATTGCACAAATCCTGGCTGTACAGCACATTACAGGGATGAAAACAAGTTAATCTCTACCTTTAGAGTCTTACCCTTAGCAAACCCTTCTTGGCAGCAGGCAGAACCACTCGCCCAGTACTAATTCTGTCTCAATTTATTAGATGAGAAGTGGCAAGACACGAACTTCATGAACCAGAAGCATTTCCAAATCTAATCATGCTATATGCAGTTTCAGAATGTCTATAGCAGTCTGTGTATCTATATTATTAATTGCGTTGGCAAAATACAGTGTTGTCTTATGTATAATATAGACTTGTTGGAAGACTTCTTTTTTTTTCAGTTAAATGCATTAAGATTC